AGTTTCCTAAAAGAGAATAAAATGCAACTCAAGAGTTATGGGTAACCCATATAAATTGTAGTAGTATTGTTTTACTTGTTTGCTAAAAGTATCAGGTTGCAAAGAATGTGATATAACTCTATTGAATTCATTTCTTCTAGATTAAAACTAAATATATGTTATTTCAATTCGTATTTTGGTTCTTGTACCGTACGGTCGTCCTTTCATACGGTCCTTCTTTCATACTGTCTTCCTCCCACACGACCGTCCTTCCATACGGCCTTCCTCGCGTACGGTCCTTCCTAGACCGTTTTCTCAGGTCATCTTTCGTCTTCTCAGGATGTCTTCCCATGGTCATCCCTTTAGGTCATGCCCACTAGTAATGACTTATTAAGCTCCTAATACGGATTAAGGTGTAACTGGGCCATCATTAGGTCAGCGAAAGGTAAAGACTCATTACCAACTAGCATAAATAAAGGTTCCAGATATGACTTTTTAGGACACGATGCACATTATATGCATTAACTTGCTCAGTTAACCAATCGGTTAGATTACTAACTTGAGCGTCGGAGTGCCTTTGACAAGTATCCACACGCACATTTTCAACAAGAAGGAAGGAGAAGGAACAACAACTTGGACGATGGAAAACCACCAGGGAGCCCGTCCGGTCTTCAAGACAACTTGGAGTGCTTTGAGTAATGGACTTCAACCTTATACTCGAAACATTTTGGTGCCCACTGTGGGGCCGACCAAGTATCCCCCATTATAGCCATAAGGAACCAGTGAGTGGTGCTTTAAAAGACGTCAACCATTCAACCATTATCACAAGTACTTAGCCAAATTTGGCATCCGGCCATCCAGCCTCACTGCTCGGCCATTTGGCCTCACAAGTACTTAGCCAAATTTGGCATCCAACATCCGACCATCTGGCCCCAACTGCTCGGCCATCTGGCCTCACAAGTACTAGCCAAATTTGGCATTCACATCCGACCATTCGACCTCAAGCTCTCGGCCATCGGCCTCACAGGGACTTAGCTAAATTTTGCATCCGGCATCCGCCCATCCGGCCCCCATTGCTCGGCCATATGTCCTCACAGGTACTTAGCCAAATTTGGCATTCAGCATCCGGCCATCCGGCCCCAACTTCTCGGCCATCTGGCCTCATAGGTACTTAGCCAAATTTGGCATCGAGCAGCCGGCCATCCGACCTATATAGCTCGGTCATCCGGCCTCACAGGGACTTAGCCAAATTTGGCATCCAGCATCCGCCCATCTGGCCCTAATTGCTCGCCATCTGGCCTCACAGGTACTTAGCCAATTTGGCATCAACATCCGGTCATCAGCACCTACTACTTGTCCATGTGGCCTCATAGGTGCTTAGGCAAATTTGGCATCGAGCTATCTGGCCATCCGGCCTCAATAGGTCGGCCATCTGGCCTCACAGGGACTTAGCCAAATTTGGCATTCAGCATCTCGGTCATTCGGCCTCAAGCTCTCGGCCTTCCGGCCTCACAAGGACTTAGTCAATATTGGCATCTAGCATCCTCTCATTCGGCCTCAGCTATCAACCATCTAGACTCACAAGGACTTAGCCAAATTTGGCATCCAGCATCCAGCCATCCGGCCTCAACTGCTCGGCCATCTGGCCTCAATTGCTCAGCCATCTGGCCTCATAGGTACTTAGCCAAATTTGGCATCGAACATCCGACCATCCGACCCCAACTGCTCGGTCATCCGACCTCATAGGGACTTAGTCAAATTTCGCATCCAGCATCCGGCCACTCGGCCTCAAGCTATCGGCCATCCGGCCTCACATGGACTTAACCAAATTTGGCATCCAGCATCTGGTCATCCAGCCTCAACATCTCGGCCATCCGACCTTACAGGTACTTAGCCAAATTTGGGAACTAGCATCCGGCCATTCGGCCACAAGCTATCGGCCATCCGGCCTCACAAGGACTTAACCAAATTTGGCATCCAGCATCCGGCCATCCAGCCTCAACTACTCGGCTATTCGGCCTCACAAGTACTTAGCCAAATTTGGCATCCACCATCCGGTCATCCAGCCTCAACTACTCGACCATTCGACCTCAGGTACTTAGCCAGATTTTGGCTTGAAGTGTTCAGCCTCCATCGTTCGGTCATACCTTGGCCTCAACCTTCGGCCTCCCATGGCCTCACAAATACGTATTTGACCTCAACCTCTTAGCTAAATTTGACCTCCAGTGTTCAGCCACAACCGTTCAACCATACCTTAAAGGAATCCTGGTCGGCCTCACCGAAGGTCGGCGACCGTGGATCTTCATCAAAGGAATCTCGGTCGGCCTCACCGAAGGTCGGCGATCGTGGATCTTCACCAAAGAATCCCGGCTGACCTCATAGAAGGTCAATGATCGTGGATCTTCATCAAAGGAATCTCGGGAGACCTCACCGAAGGTCGGCGACCGTGGATCTTCATCAAAGGAACCCCGGCCGGCCTCACCGAAGGTCAGCGACCGTGGATCTTCACCAAAGGAATTTCAGCCAGTCTAATTGATGGATTAGTAGCGTATCCAGCTTAGCCGACAAAGGCAAGACCCGTTTTTCAACCACCCATCGTGATCAACGAACAGAGAGGACAGAAACAAAAACCAACCAGAGAACCCGTCCCTATCAGGAAGGTCATGTAAAAAACCCCTTTGTAGAATAACATCATGCCCGGGCTTGGGGGCTTGTGTACTGTACGGTCCTCCCACACGGTCGTCCTTGCGTACGGTCCTCCCATGGCCGTCCTCCCAGACCGACCTCGCATGTCATCCTCCGTCCTCCCATGGTCGTCCTCCCAGACCGACCTCCCATGTCATCCTCCGTCCTCCCATGGTTGTCCCCCTAGGCCATGCTCACTAGTAATGACTCATTAAGCCCCTAATGCGGATTAAGGTGTGATTGGGCTGTCATTAGGCTAGCGAAAGGTAAAGGCCCACATCACCAACTAGTATAAATAAAGGTCCCAGGTATGACTTTAAAGACACGATGCACATTATATGCATTACTTGCTCAGCTAATCGATCGGTTAGATTACTAACTTGAGCGTCGGAGTGCCTTTGACAGATATTCACCCGCACGATTTCGACAAGAAGGAGGGAGAACGAACAATAGCTTGGAGAATGAAAGACCACTAGAAAGTCCGTCCAGTCTTCAAGACAACTTGAAATACTTTGAGTAAAGAACTTCCATCTTATACCCGAAACAGTTCTTAAGAAAATAAGAGGCAATTTTTAATTACAACAAAACTAAAATAGAATTTGTCATGTCATAAGTGTCCACCTCTAATTAAATAGATAGATTATGAGTACTAAAAATAGAGAATACTTATTTTCATTGAGTTGTGCTTACTAATAAAGAAAGGTTGGGTGGGTGCCAACCTTAAAGAATATGTCATGTTACTTGCTCCATTGGTATTAGGTATTCTTTGAAAAAATATGGAATAATTATTTTATATTTACATTTATTATTTATTTTAAATAAGACTACTCACAAATAATTTTTTATATGGATTTTTTTTTCTTAAAATAAAATTCAAATAAAATTGCATAATGAAATATCAGTAAAAGTACATTTATTCCACATAAAAAATTAATGTAAATAAATAAATCACATCATATAAATTTTAAAAAATTAATAACCTTTTAAATAAATATTCATTTCACGACGTCTAAATAAAAAAAATATAAGTAACATAAAACAAATTGTAAAGAATTGTTTAATTGTTAATATTTCTTTTATACTAACGTTTTTATTTTTTGGGTCACTTGATTTATTTTTAAATATCCACATCAAGTTTTCCTAAAAATAGATAGATATGGTAACAAATTTGTGAAAGAAATACCATACTATTTAACATATGTTTTGCTAAAAAATAGTAACTAAATAATCTTATTTATATAGATATATCATATTATATTATATATATATATATATATATCTATATATAATATACTAACATATAATATAATATAGCCACATATATATATATATACACATAATATATATATATATATATATATATATTAATATGCAAGTGCATATATTTTTGTTTATGTCTAATCGTGCTACAATAGATATGCTAGACATGTAGAAAAAGATGCAACACACGCTTGTCATAACATATAAAGAGTCAAAAGAAACAATATAGGCCTTTTCAAGAGTTCTTATGAATTGTTTTTGCATGAAAAAGAAAAGTGTATATTATTTATGCTTAATTAAATTTTAAGTATATCATAAATTTTTATATTTGAATTGATCACTTATTAAACAATATTTTAGCCAAATTTACAATATTTTTTTATTTTTATCTAAATATTTTTTATTTTTATCTACCATACAGTTAACCATGCTCGTCTCTCGCTCTTCAACCGACCTTTTTGAACGAACTTAAACCCCTTAAACCGAACCGTACAACCCCGTTGGAGACGCGGAACGCCTATTAACCCCTCCTAAACAAACCCACCCCTTTAATAAAACCCCTTCAACTTAACCCCTACTACATTTCCTTTTTAATCCTTGTTAATCCTTATACAATTACCATGATTAGTTTTTTGGAAGCACATAGGTTCTTTATAAAAAAGAAGAATGCTTAAATTTAAATTGGTTTTTATAAAATAATGTTTAAATTTAAAAAAAATTAAAAAATATAATTTAAGTTGTACAGGAACAAAAACAAGGCCGAAGAAAACTAAATATACGGTAGACATCCGCATCAGTAAATTATTGGTAAAAAATCTGGAAGTCACATGTGCAACTCAGCCGGCAACGTCTTCACTTTTGTTTTCTTTAAATAATAACTATTTAATTCTGGGAGAAGAGTGTTAAAAAAAATCAAGTTATTAGAAATTTTTTTAAAACTAACTATTTAGAACTTGTTAATTCTCTTATTATCCCTTTTAGTATTTTTTTCTAATCCTAAGGCTATATTGTTATTTTTATTTTTTTTTAGTTTTAGTCAACATACATGTGTATCCATCAAAAGAGAGAATATCCATATATGGAGATACACTGTTATCTTGTTGAATATCGATGGCGAAAAGTGAGTTAAAGGTGATTGGAAAATGGTCGAGTCCTTATGCTATGCGAGTGAAGATTGCCCTGAACATCAAAGCCCTTGAACATGAGCACTTTGAAGAAACGTTGAACCCCAAAAGCGACCTTCTTCTTCAATCCAACCCTGTCTATGGCAAAGTCCCAGTTCTCCTCCACCATGGCAGACCCATCTCTGAATCTTTGATCATAGTTCAATACATAGATGAAACATGGTCCACTGATCCTCCTATCCTCTCCTCCGATCCTCACGATAGAGCTCTTGCTCGCTTCTGGGCTGCTTACGTAGATGATAAAGTAAAGCTCTTTCTTTCCCCTTCTGTTTCCATGTTTGTAACTAATTGTTCAGCAAGTATAATTTTCTTTCAAATTGTTAAAAGATGAAATTAGTTTGATTTGATTTTACTATTTTGTGGATATGCTGCAGTGGTTTCCATCCATGAAAAGCATTATGACGGTTGAAGGAGAGGAGGAAAGGAAGCCATATTTTGAGGTGTTGGAAGAAGTACTTGAAAGGATGGAGGGTGCTTTCTGGAAATGCAGCAAAGGAAAGCCATTTTTTGCAGGAGACAGGATTGGATTCCTTGACATTGCTTTTGGGTGCTTCCTGGGATGGCTCAGTGTGATAGAACATAGGTATGAAAGGAAACTGCTGGTTGAAGCAAAGGCTCCTGCTTTGGTGAAATGGGCTGAGAGATTTGCTGCTGACCCTGCTGTCAAGGGGCTTATACCTGAGACTGATAAGCTTGTTGAGATTTCCAAGTCTCTTCAGATCAAATGGAGAGCTGCAATTGGCAAGAACTAGGATTGGGTAGTGGGAGATGTTTGTGCTGATGATGCATTTCGCTTGTATGATGAATTGTGTGGAAAAATAAAACTCATTTACTTTGGGTTCTGTTGCAGTTATATGTGTCTTTCTGCTCTCTTTACTTCAGAATTTTGGGTTGAAAATAATGTAAATTTTTTATGTGAATTAGACTCTTTGTCTCTTCCTCAATCCTTAGTGAAAACTGTTGTAAAACTTGTTATTTTACAAAAGATTGTGCGAAAGAAACTGAAGCACGTTGCACTAATAAGGGTTAAATACCATTCCACAAGTCTCGAGATATTTGTTTATCAGTGTTATCATCTCGAAAGACTGGGAGTTAGGTTTTGAATAACATCTTCCGTCAAATCTCCTCACGCAAGTCACGAAATCGGTTCTGGGCAGCTACTTAACCATAAGATTATTTTCCCTTGGATCTCTCATTTTCATGCTCTATAAATAAGAGCACCTCCTTCATTTAAAATCATCATCAGAATCCATTGTTCTCTCATTCTCTCTTCCTCTTAGTTTCATCTTCTCTTCTTCTTCTCCTAAAAAAATTATTCTTGGGTTTATTTTTACTCTCTACTTAAGAGATCCTTGCTAGTTTTGAGATCCTCAGAAATTCTGAGAAGTTCCTGTTGTATCCTAGGGGCTTGCGCAATACACCGCGAATAAGTCCTCAGGACAATGATCTACACGCCTCAGGAAGCATTTGTTCGTGATTTTTATTCTATATTGTCAGCTTCTACAACAATTTTAAGGACTTATGGCTGACAACAACAACAACTCAATCCCGGAGAAACAGAATATTGTTTCCGGAACTCAGACAGTCTTCGCGAAACCTTTCCCGGATGTATCAAAAATTTGGAAGTCTTCTCTGGTCAAAATTTTCGGCGCTGGCAAGAATGCGTGTCAACCCTCTTAGACATGTACGGAGTCGCTTTTGCTCTTTCATCTTCAAAACCACTGACTCCAGCTCCCTCCAAATCAAAACAAGTTGAAGACTGGGTTTCATGCGAACAAGGTATGCCGTCATACTTTACTTAGTGCACCTCTAACGATTTGTTCGATGTATAACTGTTCCTATAAAGAAGGAAAGACATTTGTGATTTTCGTTGATTTCAAATAACTGCTGAATATATAGTCAGGCAAAGATTCATCATTGGGGGAATTACCATCGTTGGGAAATTCGAAGCCAAGGACATAAATTCGCAAATTATGAGTACCCACAAGCTACTCGAAGATATCAAAGCGGAGAACGTTCTTCTTCTAGATGAGTTTGTTTCAAAGCTTCTGATCGAGAAACTGCCGCCTTCCTGGACTGATTACAAGCAACAACTAAAACACAGACACAAGCAAATGTCACTTTCAGAGTTGATCATTCACATAATTATTGAAGATACCAACAGGAAAGAATGTGCTGTTGTGAGGGCCACAAGCATTGTCTGCAAAAGCAAACATGATAGAAGACAACCTGCTCCAAAAAGGTACGAACACAAATCTGATCCATAAGAAAATAATTTTCAAAAATTTCGCCCTAACACATCAACCCCACCTTAAGAAGAAAAGAAATGGCTTTGTATGTGGGAAGCCCGGGCCATCATGCACCGCGTGCACGGCGCAAAGTAAGAAACGACAATCTCCTCCTAAGGCTAATATAGTCGACAGGAGATGACATATTGCTACGGGTCGTTTCTCAAGTAAATTGATGACACAATGTGAGCAAGTGGGTGGTAGGAACTCTGGTGCTACCAGACATATCTGTGCAAACAGAAGTGCCTTTACATCTTACACTAGTGTAGGGGATGGGAGAGAGAACAGTTTACCTCCGGTGATTCCGACCACTCCTGTTCTGGGAAAAGGGAAATTCTTCTAAACTCACATCTGGAAAGACTCTGACCTTGAGTGATGTGCTACATTGCCACCAATTCAGAGTTAATTTAATCTCTGTAGCACTACTGGGAAAAGTGTGGGGTTAAAGTGTCCACTCGAGTCTGACAAGATTGTAATGACAAAAAAAATAATATTTTTGTGGGGAAGGGATATTGTGATCAAGGTCTCTTGTAGTTAACATTTTCTGAAAATATTAATGAATCATCTTCTTCTGCTATATTATTTGACTCATATGATATATGGCATGCTAGATTAGGACATTTGAATTCTTCTTATGTTATGAAATTAAAACAACTAGGATTAATTAATATGCATTACAAACAAAGTAGTAAATGTGATATATGTGTAGAATCTAAAATAACCAAAGAAAACATGTTTTTTGTAGAACGTCAAACTAAATTGTTAGGGTTATGATGGAAAACCATCAAGAAATCACATTGGACTCTTACTAGAGCAATGGCAAGGAAGATTCAAGAAGAAGAAGGATCACCTAACATTTTCTTCTATGAAGGTTACTTATAAAAATACTTCTTCTCTTAACTAAAGACTTATACTTTGTTTTTGTAGGAATTAATAAATCTTGGAGACTATGATTGAGCCATCCAAGAATTAAATCAATAGAACCAAGCAAAGGAGCCAAAAAGGAGTGCTTACGGAGGCACCCCCAGCATTTTCCCGTGAATTGGCTGACTTTGGAAGGAAGCATACACTTGCTGGCTGAGCTGGAATGAGGCATGGACTTTGCTTGATCAAAATAAATCTGAATAATTTGAATTTAGGAGGGAATTAAAATCAGAAATAGGCTACTCTTCACCTATAAATAAGAGGGCCTTGTCTTTGTATTGACTTACTTTTGAGCTTAGTAAATTGCTGCTGAATTTAATTTCCAGCCCTATTGCTCTTGAGTCATTTGTTCTCTCTACTTTTTCTTCCCTTCATCTAGCTTTCTTCCATTGTAGGAAGGCCTTCTGAGCTGTGAGGTTCCCCCACATACTCATTCACTCAAACACACCAACCATCAACTAATCTCACTCATTTTCCGCTGCATTTCACTGCTGTTTTCAATCTGCTGCCACCAATATTGTTCTGGATTTTTTTTTGAAGCTTTGTCTACAAGGTCCAGGTCATTCTAAGCATGGCTAAGCTTCCATCAAGTGGTATCAGAGCCTTGGTTTGTCCACGCAAACCAGAGCTAAGTTCCTCTTCCATTTTCTGTTTCAGCTTTCCAAATCAGTGTGTTCTGTTTTGTTTCCAGAGGTGCTGTTTTTATTTCTGTTTTGTGTGTATTCACTTTTCCAGTAGTTCAATTTGAGTTTCCTTGTGTGTTGATGTTGTCCCTTTCATTTTAAACGGTGAATTTATTTGTTTTTGAGTCATTTCCAGCTTAATTTTCAATTTCAGTTTGTCTTGGTCATGTGCGAAGTGAATATGAGTTTTAATTTCTGTCATCACTGCTTTGTATTCTTTTCTGCTGGTTTAATTCGTTTGCTTGAGTTCAAGTGCTAGATAAACTTATATATCACCAATAAAGGCAATGAGAATTTTGTTTCTTAGCCTTGGTGATACAAGACTAAAGCACTAGAAATCCATTTTGATTTCAAATCTGTGTGTTGAACTCTGCTGCAGAATTTCACATTCTGTTTTTAAATCATGAATCTGCTTTTCCAGTTGATTTTTTTTTAATTCTAGAATGTTCATACAAATTTGGTTGATGGATATTGAATATGCTCAAGTGTAGCAGATCATTACAAGCATGAAATCAATTTGCAAATAGATTGGTTTGCTCAACAATTAATAGCATTCCACTGTTGCAAGTTTTAATTCAAGGCTTTTCACCGTGCTAAGTTTCCTGAATTGTCTAATCTGAGTTTTGTTTCATGCTAAGCACATTAAAAAATATCAGCTTAGATCTGTGTTTTTTATACACTCTTAGAGTATTTCCTTTGCTGTCCAGTTTTTGACCATGAAAACTAAAAGGTGTGGTAATTATCGGTTTTGCTGCATAATTTGGCCCATAGCAAGGGTGATTTCTTGAATCCCTCGCTGTTTCTGTGCTTT